AATCGGTCTCAGTTGACCATAGTTAGTAGGATCAGAACACAGGTATATATATCCCCTCTCTAAACAGCAGTTGATGATATGTGTTAAGTACATATCAATTTCAGGTACACATAATAGTAGATATCATATGCAAAGTTATTCCATCTGAACCACTAGAATTTGATTTTATTTGATGTGTAATTTTAACAACGGTGTCTTTAGTCACTTTATTAAATTGAAATTTGGTTTTTGAGTTATTTTTATTAGCTCGGTAATATGCAATTTAATCAGCACAACCAAATCACTATTCTCGAACATTGAAATGAATGCCTCATTTATTTTATACGGATCTGATAAGCTCACGGGAATTGTAGAATCTTTCTGAGATTGCACTTTGTATGTCTGTAGGGTTTTATAAAACTTTTTTATATCCTGATTTTGAACAGCTTGTAACTAATCTCTTTCTCCTGTGTATAGTCAATTTTCTCCATACAATGATTTTGTTACATGATACCTTCATTCACTTGTGTCTTCATTTATTTTCTGACGTTGAGAGTTTGACATATAATCTGCGATAAAACCCAAATTCTTATAACAGAAATACAGTAGACTTAAATGGAGTTGAGGATCAACAAAAAATGAAATTTTATCTAGGTGAAGAATATCCGATTTCATCATTTCAGGACCTATGCTTCCGATTCTTTTTACCGTATTTTTGGATGTACTTTCTACTAAACGGATGTTACCATTGTAGGGGTAGTTGTAATAGTAGTCTCTATTCTCTATTCGTCACTGTCTATCAGAGTGGTCCGTAGGACCTCTGCTCTTGGTTAAAGTCTTGTAAGATACCAAACAAAGTCAGGGATGTAATAGTAGTGTGTACATATGACAAGTCGGTTGCTTATAAAGTACATTTTATAAGACCCCAGCAACAAATCTAACAACATAAACTTTTAAATTGCAATTACCAAAAAATATGTTCATACATTCTAATAAAATAAATCAAGTACATTAACAACAAAATTTTGGTAAAAAAAAGATCAAAATTTGACTAAAAAAAAATGAATAAATGCGAAGGACAAAATTCGATAAAATCCAATAAGAAACAAATAGGGAAAAGTATTAAGATAAGTGAGAACCGTACATGATAAAACAAATTAAGCAACAGATAATACACACATTTTTAAAAAGGAACTGCCTTATTATAATTTAAGAATTGAATAAAATGCACCTTCCACAAGAAGAAATTCTATTTTTGATTTAAATACATAATAGTCATTAATACTTTCGAGTTTACTTGGTAGCTTATTATACATAAGAACATAGCTTTAATATGCCGATCTTTTAAAATGGCTATTGCTACGCCATTTTATACACAGGAGCTTACCATTTCTGGTGTTGCATCCATGATTCATGATACTGTCCTAAATTGTGAAAGTGGTGCATATACGTATATTTTCTCGCAAATAAAACACATCTGAATAATAAGAATAATAATAATAATGTTTATTGTCACAAAATACAGGTAAATATCAAATATTGTGCACAATAAACATAAAGCACCCAAAAAAAGTTTGCACTTGTGTTTGGGTTTATTAAAAATAAAAACTAATAGTGCAGTCAGTGTATGAAAAAAAACCGTAAGATACTGTATAATTTGGTGAATTATTATGGTAATGTCAGGAAAAATATACAGACAATTATAACTAAAGTAAAAGTATGGATGTTAGTGTAAGTAAAATATTATTGATTTTTATAATGATTTTTCAGATCTACAATTTCATGGATGGAGTACCTAGGTTGTTGTAAAATCCATTAATATTAGCACACATGTTAGTGTCATTTTTTTTAATATTCCTGCAGGTTTCCATAGGTCGGATATGAAAATTAGCTGCTAAATTCGCTTCTGCGCTATAAATAACGTTTGAGTTACCCCACCCCAATATATTATAGCTGATCCGAGAATAAATCAACGCATAGTATGTGTACAAACAGCAGCCCTTCCTCAACCAATATATCATTTAGCTGCAATGTTGCATACAATACCTTGGTCAAATTGTTGCAAACATGAGCAATATGTTGGGCAAAATTCAAATTGGCAGCAAAACTTGTACCTAATAGTTTAGTGGACTGAACAATTTCATATTCATGCGATGTAAGAAAGTTACTGCCTTATAATTGTTTCCAATTCATTTAATATTTTTTTTTTGTCTCATTGGCAAAATCCACTGACCTCGTCCAAAAGAAGTGCTACATTAGTTTTCGCATCGACCTGTATGTGTATATCGAAACCCGATTTTAATAGGTCCACCTTCCAAAATACTATTAATTGTCGTATCTCTCTTGAAATAACTTTGTCATGTAGAGACAATCAATTATCATAAAAAGATTCCCATACGTCTACTAATACTAATTGATTTCTAATTATGAATTTAAACAAGCATGCAAGAGGTTTTACCTGAACTGTTAGCCGTTAAATCTTCATATCATCGGTTGATAAATAACAGGTTGCCTTCAAAGATTTAGTATCTTCACCTTTGGTATTTGGCATAACAATAAACACGTGCAATTAGTGGAGTTATGCAGTCACGTCTACGAAATAGAATTTCTTCTCATCGTATGTGTTGGATCAGTTTCAAGCTGCTCGTTCACTAGTGAGAGAAGAACTTCCTATGAAAATATGCACTACATCCTCTGATCAATAATGTATAATTTAACAAAAAGTTTGGAAGCATACCAAGCAATTGAATCATGCGATATCTTTCATAGAAAACAAGTATTTCATTTGATCGGATTGCCAGAGATGGACTACATAGCTAATTTTCTACAGCCTATATAATAGTAGTCCAAAAATAAAATATTTGGAAATCGTTTGGACAAAAAGCATGTATCTACTCTTGTTTTTTCGATACAAACTCCGACTTCCAAAAAGAAACAGCACTCCTATTATTGTTTTTCACTAAAGATTGCATTTGATTTCAAAAATGCTTTAAAATATTAAAACTTTGTTAAGTGATCTGAAAGGGTCTATGTCGCTGGTTAGGAATCTATTATTAACTAAATTGTCATGATGGCAGGACCAGTATCATAATCGATAGGAGACTATATTATATCATATTATTTTAAGTTAAAATATATTATATAATATATTATATTATATTATATTATGTTATATTATATTATGTCATATTATATTATATTATTTTATATTACTATATAATATTATAGTATATTATATGACATTATATTATATTATATTATATTGTATTATATTATATTATATTATATTATATTATATTATATTATATTATATTATATTATACTAAGTGACATATAAATCCGAACACCCAGTTTAAATGGTTTTATTTTAATAAAATTTTGTATAAGTACTTAATGAAGCATAATACGTAAATGATAATAATTTCAAAATGATTGCACTGCTTTAAAGTCCTTTGACCTTTAATAATGTGTGGATACACCCTGATGTGCTACGCATTCTCCAACGCGCCTAGGCATGCTTCTGATCAGGTGGTCAATGTCCTCCTGTGGTATCTCATTCCAGGCAACCACCAACTCCTCTCGAAGTGCTTCTAGAGTCTGAGGACGACGTTGCAAATTGAGCAATCTCCTACCCATCATATCCCACACGTGCTCAATTGGGGATAAGTCGGGAAATCTTGGTGGCAATGGTAACAATGTGACATCATTATGTTGAAAGAAGTCTATTGTGACTCTTGCAACATGTGGTCGGGCATTATCTTGTTGGAAAGTTGGATCTGCCAGGGTGTCAAGATAGGGTAAAAGATGGGGTTCTAGAACTTCGTGGATATAACGCTGCGCGTTCATGTTACCTCTGATGAAGATTAAAGGTGACCTGGAACCATAAGCTATAGCACCCCAAACCATAACTCCTGTGATGAACATGTCTTTCAACAAAAAACTGTGGATTCCTCCTTTCACCACGTCGCCTTCTAACCCTGGCACGACCATCGTGCATGCTTAAACAAAATCGAGACTCGTCACTAAAGACAATACTGTTTCATTCCTGATCCCAGAGTTACCCTTGTCTGCACCACTCAAGGCGATTACGTCGGTGTTCTCGAGTTAAAGGGAGGACCCAGTGTGGCCGGTATGAAAACAAGCCAAAACTTCTCATTCGTCGGTAAACACTTCGCATGCCAATAGGTCTTCCGTGTTCTGCAAACTATTCATTTGCAATGGACCTGGTAGTGGAGAAACGGTCCCTTTAGGCCAATATTCATAGGCGGCGATCTTCACGGTCTGTTGTTCTACGGCGGCGTCCAGTGCCCCTTGCTCTTTGCGTACGACCTTCTCGAAGCCATGCCTGACAACACCTAACCACAGTGTCTACACTTCTTTGCACTCTAACTGCAATTGCCCGAAAAGAAAGTTCAGCTTCCCGAAGTCCCACTATACGGCCCCTATCAAACTCACCTTGTTGACGAAATCGTACAGATCTCCGTACTCTAGGCATAGCAACCGATCGTAAAGGATGTCAAGAACCAAAATCCGCCAACGTTGATACTTTACTGCGGCTGAGATATTCATTTTTAGAGCGTTAGTGAATTAAAAAAAAGCAGTATAAAAACCGGAATGTCCAACTGATAAGGCTGAAAATTTTTTCACTTGTTATTTACAGGAAGATAAATACATTCACCAACTTTTATTAAAATAAAACCATTTAAACTGGGTGTTCGGATTTATATGTCACTTAGTATATATTATATCATATTATATTATATTATATTATACTATATCATATTATATTGCATTATTACATTCAACATATTCCTTCAGAAGTCTACCAAAAAGTGGTGGACAACGTAATCAGGAGGGGTCAAGTCTCTGCGGCTTCCAAATGCGAGCGTTCATACATACCTTTCCATGATATATTAAGATAAAAAAATTATATCTATTTCATTTCATTTGAAGGATCAAAAAGACAGTCAATTATATGTACATTGCGTTCAACAAGGTCTGAAGCTATACCATTTTTTCAGATCCCAGGACGTCAGACTGGCCGTTGATGCAAAGTCCAATACCAACGGTGATGATGGTGCTAGGATACCTCTATGTGATCCTGTTTTTGGGACCTAAGCTCATGGAAAATAGGAAGCCGTTCAAGTTAAAAGAAGTGCTTATAGTTTACAATGCCTTACAAGTCTTATATAGTGCCTTTATGTTATATGAGGTAAGTTATTGCAGTTCCTGTAACTTTGTTTCGTTTAAACTGTTTCATAGCTCTTAGCCATGAGGCATTTAACTATAAGATTATGATTCTCGCATAACGTGGGCACCTAAATTCCTGAACAAAAGCTTTTCTGTAGCTGCTCTTTTGAATAAAGTAGCGTCAAGTAGGTTGTCGCTCTACTTCCCACGCAATGCTGCCATAAGTTCATAAAATGTTTGTCACTAGTTAGGCACTCGTCAGTCGTGCCTATTACTTGCATTTACTTTTGTTTGTGATAAAATCCTTATTTCTGTTATATTTTAACCAATATGTTTTTATAATTTGTATTTTATTCATCTTCCATTACACGATACGGTTAGTCTCCTCACTGCAAAAAGGGCTTCTGCTAGAATCTGTACTAAATACAGATGTGTAATTTACTATTTTGAAATGTCTGCATTTTTTGCATTCTGATTCATCTTTAGTACCTTTCCTTGGTGTATCTGATACACAAAATAATGTCATTAACACTTTCATTCCAATAATTTCTGAAGAGACATTCTCTCATGCAATCCGAATATTCTCGATCAATCTGCAAAGTCGTAAACAGGCGTTGCTTAACGAAAACAAGATCATTATATATCTGCCGAAAATCTATAGTCAACCTTGACACAGTAACAGTGGCATTATTACATAAAAATTCAATTATTATTAGTCTGAACAATACTACGGTCATTAAAGTAAGGCTTGCACAAGAATTTCGGAGATCTGAAACAAAAAAAAATGGCTATAATGGACATAAGGAAACAAGTGATTGTTATCTGATGAGCTGCTAATCAGTACGAAACACGCTGTCTAAGGTTAGTCATGGTGACGGAGATGGAAAGAAGACATGTCGATTTAAGCCTATGTTTATTTTTGCATAATACAGGGTGATTCACAAGTCGTGACCAAAAATGAAACAGCATACACAGGACCACATTTTAAGGAGGGTCTTCTATACATTTTTTCCTCGATGGCCTTATTAAAAAGATACGTGTTGAAATTTAAAAATAAAAAACAATTTTTTTAATATACTAAGTGACATATAAATCCGAACACCCAGTTTAAATGGTTTTATTTTAATAAAAGTTGGCGCATGTATTTGTCTTACTGTAAATAACAAGTGAAAAAATTTTCAGCCTTATCAGTTGGACATTCCGGTTTTTATACTGCTTTTTTTTAATTCACTAACGCTCCAAAAGTGAATATTTCAGCCGCAGTAAAGAATCAACGTTTGCGGATTTTGGTTCTTGACATCCTTTACGATCGGTTACAATGCCTAGAGTACGGAGACCTGTACGATTTCGTCAACTAAGTGAGTTTGATAGGGGCCGTATAGTGGGACTTCGGGAAGCTAGACTTTCTTTTCGGGCAATTGCAGTTAGAGTGCAAAGAAGTGTAGACACTGTGGTTAGGTGTTGTCAGGCATGGCTTCGAGAAGGCCGTACGCAAAGAGCAAGGGGCACTGGACGCCGCCGTAGAACTACAGACCGTGAAGATCGCCGCCTAAGATTATTGGCCTTAAGGGACCGTTTCTCCACTACCAGGTCCATTGCAAACACGGAAAGACCTATTGGCATGCGAAGTGTTTACCGACGAATGAGAAGTTTTGGCTTGTTTTCATACCGGCCACACTGGGTCCTCCTTTTAACTCGAGAACACCGACGTAGTCGCCTTGAGTGGTGCAGACAACGGTCACTCTGGGATCAGGAATGGAACAGTACTGTCTGTAGTGACGAGTCTCGATTTTGTTTAGGCATGCACGATGGTCGTGCCAGGGTTAGAAGGCGACGTGGTGAAAGGAGGAATCCACAGTTTTTTGTTGAAAGACATGTTCATCACACTGTTGGAGTTATGGTTTGGGGTGCTATAGCTTATGGTTCCAGGTCACCTTTAATCTTCATCAGAGGTAACATGAACGCGCAGCGTTATATCCACGAAGTTCTAGAACCCCATCTTTTACCCTATCTTGACACCCTGGCAGATCCAACTTTCCAACAAGATAATGCCCGACCACATGTTGCAAGAGTCACAATCGACTTCTTTCATCATAATGATGTCACATTGTTACCATGGCCACCAAGATCTCCCGACTTATCCCCAATTGAGCACGTGTGGGATATGATGGGTAGGAGATTGCTCAATTTACACCGTCCTCCTCAGACTCTAGAAGCACTTCGAGAGGAGTTGGTGGTTGCCTGGAATGAGATACCACAGGAGGACATTGACCACCTAATCAGAAGCATGCCTAGGCGCGTTGGAGAATGCGTAGCACATCAGAGTGCATCCACACATTATTAAAGGTCAAAGGGTTTTAAGGCAGTGCAATTATTTTGAAATTTTTATCATTTACTTATTATGCTTCATTAAGTACTTATACAAAATTTTATTAAAATAAAACCATTTGAACTGGGTGTTCGGATTTATATGTCACTTAGTATATCATTCAAAAGTCTTTAGTTAAAATTAACGTGTACTAGTGGCGGAGATACAGGGGATTAGTGGCATAATTTTTCCAAATAAAAATAGTGCGCCACTATTTTTCTTTTCGAAACGCGCAATCACTCTGAGTACATAGAAGGCTGTTGCTGGTTTACTTTATAACACGGCTCCTTGATGGGTCGACGGTAATGGTGGTGTGCATAGCGCGAACGTCAAGCAGTTCTGAGCCAGAGGACATAGGGGCCTCTATCATCTCCATCGTATGGGATGAGGAAGAAAATCAGCTTGATAACCATTGATAGGCAGAGTTTATCACCTACTTGTACACACACGAAAAACAATAAAACCATATTTTTGGAACTAGTTATAAAAATTTTGTAAAATACAATTTTTATATACAACAGTTACTAAGCTGGTAAATTTTTTTGTAAAATGCAAAAAAGTTCGAAGTCTCTCATTCTTCATTTACAGCCTATATAATTTTTTTATCTGTAACTTTATATACGCCTTCCTCAGATGTGCACCAGCAAGGTCCCCAAACTCCCAGTAAAGTAAATTATCGCATCAGATAGTATTCCTTTGACTTTCCGAGAAAACAAAGAAACAAAGTATTAAACCCCACTTTGTCTATGATACCCCTGATAATACCTTTAACACAAAATGTGAGCCAAAGACTACTCCTCTACTCCGCAGTGTAGATTCTTTAGATGTAGTGTCGGGTAGATTGTCTCTTAGAAACATCCTATTACTGGCAGACTATACACAAAATATTTCTTCTATGATAAAGTATGGCCTTCAATAACAAATAAATCGTTTTACTGCCTTTCAAATTGACCCTAACAGAATCCTTGTAACCCGGCATGGAATGCTTTATTTGGCAATATTTAGATTTATCTAAACACATTTCTAACGCGATGCATAATGAAGTTAATATAGCGATTAGCCGATTAATAAAAGAAATATCCTCAAAAATTTTAATTCAAAACTCTTTGGTTACTACGACCGAAAACTTTGAGAGTACCAATCGCACTAACTAGTCTATAAAGAAACAAAGCTTCACTATGAGTCTAATTCCACAACGACTGCAGTATAATCGAAGGAGGCTCGTCTGCAGTAGTACCGTCCATGAAAGCACAAATCGTGCGACCTTGCGAAGGCAACAAACGTCCTTGTGGAGAAAGTTCGCAGCAGCATAACAACGCGGAAGCAAAATGGTACCAGACTCACGCCAGACCGCGTCTGTATTCTGTTGAATTAAACAACCGGGAGTTATATAAAACGATACTTGCTACGTCTTAGCTGGCAATGGATTACGTAAAGTTCACCAAGGGAAGGGTCAAGGTTGCCTCAGGGTATCGACTGCATTGTGTTCATTTTTCACGGTAGATGTTTGGTAATTTGATTTTTATGAATGAAGTGGTACCGTTTTTGGCAAGGAACTTTTAATGGTTATCGTAATACGGCGTTACTGGATGTCATTTGTCAATAATTTAATTATTTCATCGTTAGATAGACACAGACCATGACAAATCACAAGTCAAGAAGGAATGGTAGTAATAGACATATACAGTTGAAACAAAACATATTAAAAACCAGGCTTAAATTCAAATAACTCTTCCAGGTTATAAAGACGCTGATCTGAAATATTTCCAATTGATCTTCGAAACTGCTGAATGTAGGGGCTTTTTGTAAAACTTTGTTTGAATTATTCAAAATTTTAGAAACCATGTGACTAAAAGTTTTCTGATATGTTGCAAGATGTTGGAGGGTATCAGACAATATACCCCTGCCATACCTATTTACCGATTTTGACAACATACTCGATATATCCCCCAAACAGAGAACAGAAAACAAAAACACTGGTAACCTAAGATAGACTTTGTGCCCTAAATGAGACATTTCGCCTTAAAAAGGATCTATAATTAAATGAAGCGATTGATCACTTAACTAACAAAGACGTTCAAGAAAAGCCAAATATTGATGAAATTAAGAATCGTGATGGAACAATATTAACAGATAAACGACAAATATCCGATGCATTCTTAAATTTTTTCACTAATGTTGGAGAAAATTTACCATCCAGTATTAAAAAAAAGGTTTCGAACGAAAAGTTCCCAAAAACCCAACTTCCCAATTCATTCTTTTTAGAAAGCGTTAGTCCGATTGAAGTACAAGAAGCTGTCCTGTCACTTAAAACCAAAAAAAGTCCTGGTGTAGATGATATCAAAGCTGACCATTTAAAAATAATAGCCTACGACTAAGCCGAACCACTTTCTTACGTCATTAATTGGTGTTTCCAATCTGGAATTTGTCATGATGCATTTAAAACAACTGTTATTACTCCTGTTTATAAAAGCGGTGACAGAATGGAAACATCAAATTATAGACCCATATCAGTACTATCGAATATAGCCAAAATTTTCGAAAAATTACTACAAAAAAGGATATTACAATTTTTGGACAAAAACAAAATTATATGTTCTGACCAATATGGATTTAGAAAAGGAAAATCTACTACAGATGCAATTTTGGCTGCA